TGTCTCTCACAGTTGAAGTGTACCTCTGGTGCAAATTACTGACCTCTGTCATCATTTTAAGTGGGGGAACTTGCACAATCGGTGGCTGACTAAATACTCTTTTGCCCCACTGTAGATGGTTTCTTTTACTCCTCTTTCAAACAATCTGTCTTCTCTCTCCAAAATGTGAACATTGGCATCCTCGAAAGAGTGACCTTTGTCCTTTAGTTGCAGATGGACAGCCGAGTCTTATCCTGTGGAGGTGGCTCTTCTATGTTGTGCCATGTTTTTATGAAGTGGCTGCTTGGTCTCTCCAATATAGAGGTCCGAGCATTCCTCGCTACACTGTACACCATACACGACATTGTTAAGTTTGTGTTTAGGAGTTTTGTCTCCTGGGATGAACCACTTTGCCTGAGTGTGTTGCTGGATCTGAAGTAAACTGGGGTGTTGTGCTTGGAGAAGACTCTCCTGAGTTTTTCCGATACACAAGCTACATAGGGGATGACAATGTTGTTGCATTTGTCTTTCTAATCCTCCCTAGTTGGTGTCTGATGTTCTTTTCTGTGAATCGTTGCTGTCTTGATGAAAGCCCAATTAGGATGTTTTAAGAGCGGGCTTTGTGTGTGTGAGCTTTCAGAAGCCCAGGGTTAATAATCAGGACCCTACAAAACCGGGCATAAAATGTTCCCTATGAGCCTGAAAGGAAAAAGAGGGAACACACACATGTAAAGGAAGCTCTTAAAACATGAGGTTATCCCAATTGGGCTTTTAGCAAGTTTCCAAATGCCGTTTGTTATTGTGGAGAAACACCTACTAAAGAGAAGGGCCACCAGGCCAAAGCAAAGGTTTTGACTCAATCAGCGTTAACTTTGTGTTAAAATAAATTCATGAAGACAGCCGAAGGGTCAGGACTGCCAAAATGAATTAAATAAATACATCATTAAAGTTGATAATACTGATGATGTGCCCCTGGACACATCATCAGTGATGTAACCTGGGGTCATTGGGGGTTTCGTGTCTTTCAACAATCAGACCCCCTTTCCCAGGAGACCCAGCCAGGGTTGATCAAGCCCCAGCTTGTGTCCAGGTAGCGCTACCCTACATGCCATGCCTCTCCTCTTTTGATCCACAGCCACTTCGTCACTGCTTCTGCTGCGTTGGTAGCCAACTTAATGGCTCTTCGCTGGTTAGCCCCTACAATGCTTAGCATTTTGTATGCCCTGCAAAGGGATTGACCTGCGAATCCTCGAACATCCCACTTTGATGGGTTGGCGTCTTGCCCGCCAGCCATTACTCCGGCACTCGTCCACTAACTCGGAATACTTTGCCCTCTTTCTCTCATGAGCTTCCTCCATACAGTCTTCCCAAGGCACAGTAAGCTCCAGAAGGATTACCTGCTTGGAGGCAACTGAAGTAACAACGATGTCTGGCCTCAGAGTTGTCTTGGCTACCCCTTCGGGGAACTTTAACTGCTTTGCCAGGTCAACTCTCAGCTCCCAATCGTGCGCCATTGCCAACATGCCAGGCGAGGTGTTTCGGACTGGTGCTGCTGGGTTCTCCCCAGTTTTTATAAATGTTACCTTGTTCTTAACTGAGCAGGTGCTCTTACTATGACTGATCCCACTTCAGATCGAATCCGCTACAGCCTTCAGGACTTGATCGTGTTGCCAGCGATATTGCCCTTGGGCCAGGGCTTTTGGGCAGCAACTTAAAATGTGCTCCAGGGTTCCTCTGTTCTGACAGAGAAGACAGCCTGGTGTCTCCACTTTCCCCCAAGTGAAGAGATTTGATGGACTTGGTAGCACATCATATAATGCGTGAATCAGGAATTTTATCCGCTGGGGTTCTGCTTTCCACAGATCATTCCATGTGACCTTGGGTTGTGTTGCGTGGTTAAGAGGAGGCGGCAAAACACTTAGCAGGCTAGTCGGAAGAACACACACCCACGCTGGTATCGGTAATCCACGGTGGTTCTTTAATACGCCTTCTTCAACAACCATATAAAAGCCCGGCTGAACGGCTGCGGCTCAACAACATAACACCCAGCGGTCATACAACCCAAGCGTTGCAAACAAAAAAAAGGTTTGGAGAAGAGAACATAAATCCGTCCCTCGTTAAGCACAAGCGTGCAGGCACGTGTCCTCATAATCCCAGAGAGAGAGAGCAGTGGCACAAACTGATGATACCATCAACCCTCGACCTGGATGTCTTAAAGGGACACCACACCATAGTGCCTTTTACACACTCTACAACTTGCTCCCATTTTGTCCAAGCCCCCTGCTGCCTCAATTGCACGCTGACTTCCCCTCAACTCCTGCGCACACCTCCTCACGGATCAGCGACCGCCTATCTTTCCCCTGTGCCTTGTTGTAGTTAGGTTTTCTACTGCTACCCAAGCCCACTCTTCCCTGGGCCACTGTACCACCCTTTGCTGCAGCCTTGATACTGTAATCTCAACAGCCTCAACAGCCCTCCACTTCCGCCCGGTCCTAACCTCTATTCCAGCCAGGGCAACCCGGGGGTCACTGGACTCCCAATATTGGAGCAGCTCCCTGGAATGGCTCACCATAAACTCCTTGCTTAGGCTGCTAAAGTGGAGCTTCAGCTTGTTGTTATGACCATACAGAGCGATGCTACTAAGGCTTCGTGGCAGACCCAACCACCTGCGCAGAAACCTGCTGATCCTCATCTCGAATCCTTCCACTGTTGAGATGAGAACTTTATAGACTAAGAGGGGACACAAAATCCGGGTTAGAATTTCTTGCTGATAAATCCAGGCTTTAAACTTGCCAGGAAGGCCAGATTTATCCACTGATGAGAGCCAGGCCTCCAGGTCTTCGTTGGTCGCTTGTATAATTAATTAAATGGGTCAATAATTATTTAAATGTGTTAATTAAATAAAAATTTAAATAAATAAATAATTGATTGATTGAATGTTTTAAATGAAATTAATGGCCATTTAATTAATTATTGTAATATTTGTATAATTAATTAATTCCAAATGTAATTAATTAATGAAAAAATAATTAAATATTTAAGGGTCTATTTAATGAATTCATTTTGTCACTCCTGGCCCTCCATGGCATACTATTTCCTGTAGTATCAGCTGTACCACTGTCTCTGTACAAATGAAGGAAGAGGACATCTTCAGAGGAAGAGGGCGGGCTTTACTTGGTTTCAGTGACAGAAATGAAAAAAAGCTCAAATGAGTGAGAAGGACGATGAAGGAAACATCTGTGCTGTGTCTGCTCTGTAAGTAGAATCTCTGTGTTTGTTTGAATTCTTGTACTTTGACTGTCTGCTCTCCTGATAACTGATGATGGAGGAGAAGACATGAAAAACAAATCAGGCTGAATTCAAGTGCAAAGCACCATGAGGACCAACTGCAGGTCTCATCTGACTCTTTATCTTTGCTCAGGAGTCGAGGAAACACAGCAGGCAGTGAAAAGATCAACTCATTCACTCATTATGTCAACACAGCTACACAGTGGACACATGACTTCACTGTGTTATTTAATTACACTGAATATTTTGTAAATACCCACAGTATAGTCAGTGCAAATAAAATAATTATTTTAATTATTGCTGTTAAAACAATGTTGCTCATTTTCAGAGCTGCTATTTAAAAATGCATGCCAAACTAGAGGTACAGGAAATAGAGGTTCGTGAGATCTTTCAATAGTTGCCTTTCAGCATCTGCTGTTGAAATGAATGTAGTATTAGAGGCATCATAGCGGTCCAGTTGTTAGTGCTGTTTGTGTGGAGTTGTTCTTTATGTTCACCTCAAATCAACCTGAGTGTCATTTCTCTTTAGTTCTGATCTCACTGCTGAGCTGCACAACAAACCAAGGTCAGTAACCTTCTTCTGTCACAGTTTAACCCTGATTAATGCTCACTGATATGACCTGATTGGGTTCAAGTAGTGATAATGTCATATGTCAGCACTCGAGATGTGATGCAGAGGAAAGTCTAACTGAAGGCTTTTTATCAGCACTTTATTGAGCTGATGGAAAACAAATTTTGACAAAAGCATATCATAATTTTAACGCTTACAGCTCATCTGACTGTGAGTCCCAGCAGCTCTCAGTTCTTTGAAGGAGACTTTGTGTCTCTGAGCTGTGAGGAGGACGACAGCTCTGCTGGATGGACTCTGAGGAGAAAACCAAGCAAAGGAAATACCACTCAGTGTGGAGATGGGTGGGGAACATCATTTAACTCTTCCTGTGACATTAGTTACATTGTTGAACGAGACAGTGGATTTTACTGGTGTGAGTCCAGAGAGGGTCCCATCAGTAACATGGTTAACCTGACAGTCACTGGTAAGCTGAGTGTGTGGAGTTAGTGTTGATGAAGCTGTGTGTAAATGGATGAAATGC